TTTCACTTGCTGTAAATTACCATAGATCCACACAAGTCAATAGATCAAGACTCTGAAGTTCTTTTCTCCTTCTTGGTCTGATTTTTCTTTTTATTTTTTTTTCTGATAAAATGACTCATATTTTTACTTCATAATTGTATTATAATGAATTAGAAAAACAAGAAAGGCAGAAAAATTAGTTTTTCATCTTTTCTGGGAAAACTTGTACTTCTGCTCATGCCATCCAGCTTTTTTTTTTTCGTTTTTCTTTTCACTTCCCAGATTTCCTGAACTCTATGCTATTTATTAAGAAATATCTGCCAGTTACACAAGGATTACCACCAGCTACAAAAATCCAAACTTCAGCTTTTCAGGACCAGCTAATTTACCAAGATTCTCATGTACCCCCTGATCTCCTGGTACTGGGGATGATGGCTCTAGCATTGTTCTTGCACACAAGAGATAAAACAGCAGAGACTTGAAGACAGGTTCAGGTGTGTGCCTGCCATGGCCATTAATGTCAGGAGGATGCAGGTGCTGGCAGATTGGATCAGGCTGGTGGTCCATCTAGTTCAGTCTCCTGCTTTGTTTTAGAAACTGGTTTAAGTTGTGAGGCATTAAAATGTACATGCCCTCCAGCCACTTGGTAAACAATATTCTGTTTATTCTGAAAGTTCTTACTGCTCTGGACCTCTGAGCTGTCCGGGGCAGTGAGTTCCACTGACTGGGTGAGTTCCTTCCTTTGCAAAAGGAACTATTGTCTCTTCTCTGTATATTTTCTCCTGATATTGTTCTGAAAACCTACCTTCCCCTGGGTTTCAACTAATTCCTTTTGGTACTGCCTTTATCATTATTCTTGAACTATTTGGTTTTTTAAAGGTCATTGCTTTCTAGTCTTCCTGTTGGTTAACTTTGGATGCTCCTTCTTCCGTAACTGTTCCTGTTTCAAACCACCTTGTCGGAGAACACCTTTTAAAACAACCGATGCAGCCTCAGCTACGAAGCCAGACAATCCTCTCTGATAAGCAATACAATTCGGATAAGCAATTCAATTTGGAGAAAATTGGTTTAGTTTTGTGGAACTGTTTTACATTCCTCTGCCATCCACACAACTGCCCTGCCTTTTATTTTGTATTAGAATTTTGGTTGTCATTATTTGCTATTCTTACACATGCACTTTATGAGCAGGGTGGAAATAATAACTAAAAGGCTCTTTTTCCCATTTTCTCTTGGGGCTTTTTTGCATTCCCAGATCAAACTCCTTCTAAAATTAAAAAAAAAAAAGTCTGAAAGACAGACATACATTCTGCTATTTTAAGCTACCCATCTCCGAAAAGGATGTTAACCCTAGAAGGGTACATTTGCCTCTGCTGAGATTCTTATGTGGACTGAACTCCACAAAAATTCCATCTTTGGAGCTTGATGCCAAAGCACAGTGCAAGTTACTCCCGCTAGAAGCGAAGTTCTTGCCATTTCCTCAAGCAATGAATTACCTCATGATATTCAAGTTATGTCAAAATATCCTTTTCAGTTAGGTATGCCAGGGGCTAGTCCTTAGAAAACCCCTTTTAGTGTTTTTACAGTTCCAATTTTTTTTTTTTGCTCCAATGCTTAATGGTGATGTGGAAATTGCAATTCTTGCTTTTGGTCTGTGTTAACCTTTCCCTCTTCATTATTTAGAAACAGAAAGCTTTTGGTATCTGCCTCAAATCAGAAGATTATAGGTCTGTTAGTATATGTTCGAGAAGTACCCTTTCCGTGGGTGTTAATTACTGAGTATCCAGTTGAGTACACTAGTCGTTAACCTCAAAAACAGTGACTCAGCAAGGTACCACAGCAGACTGGTGCTACAAGAAAAAAAAAAAGGAAAAAAAGAGCGCTATTTTCTCACACCAGATGCCAGGCAAGATGTATTTCTAGAGGAAAAGCTAACAGGCAGCCTAAGAACAAATGTGCATGGAGGTCTGTGTTATCCTTTCTGATAAGATGACTTGAAATGTTCAGCTGGAGGCAAAAGCCCATTGGAGAGGGAACTTCTGGAGCATCTGTATGATACTCCCAAATCAATTAAGGTTGGTGGAAATGCTCCTGCTGGATCAGACCCAGAAAAGGGATAATTCACCTGTATTGTACCCAAAAAGGTGACCTGTGAATTCTAATGCTTGAGGTAAATATTGTGCAGAACAAAAATGTTTTTCAATAGAGGATGAGCTAGATGGATGGGTTTTAATCTTATTTTTTTCCATAGACATTCAAGTCTAGTGATTTGTTTCTACAAAGAATGCAAAATAAATCACATATCGTTTCTGTTTTCCACATACGTGCATTCCAGAAGAAAACAGACCGAGCAGACTTTCAGCCACGCAATGAATGTCTGCAGAAATGTATCCGACTACAGGTCTCTTCAGTCACTTTAATGGTGATGGATATGCAGGAAACTATAATCAATTACATTGCCCTGAAAATTACACAGTTATTTTCCAAAAAACCCAACAGGTAACAGTTGTTTGACACAGCATAGCTTAATATTTCTCAGAAGACAGAGACCTTGTAATATTTGAGCTTGCTATACACACAAATTGTATCACTTCAGCTATACTGGTGTAACTTCTGCATAGTCAGATTATATAGATCTGGCAGGCAGCTATGAGACAGAAGAACCCAAAGTAAAACAGAGAAATGCATTCGTTAAACAGAAAACAAAATCTGAACAGGGAGATCTAAGGTCAGATCTAGGAGGTGATGTTCTCTAGCTCGATATTTGAGAATGTTTAAAAACTAGCCATGTGCCTGTGCAATAAGCAGCGTGGCCTTCTGTAAGGTACACACTCTCACACTATCAGGTTACCGACAGCTTTGTGCTTCCTCCTCTTCTGCTTCACACCAGCTTAAAAGTCACTGCATGCCATCCAGGAGATGTGGTGTGGAGAGAGAGGTGGCAAAGGTGTCACTTGCCTTCCAGAAAGAGAGGTGTATCTGATTCCCAGTATTTCTCATAATCACTTAATACTCATAGAAAATATATTAAAAATACTACTTGATTGGTGGCCTAAGTTAAGGTACAGAGTAAACAACATATTACACAGTCAAGCAGAACCTCATCCCCTAAGAGTCAGAGTAGCCCAGAGGGAGACTATTGGAAAAATACACTCAGCCTGTGTGTGTTCCCCTTGCTGCAGCCCTTCTGGGTATCTCAAAGGAGGAATGATTAGCAGCTACAGGAGGCAGATTTAGTTCTTGTAGAGATGGAGTATTAAATTATTTCACTTTCTCTTCCTGCTCTTCCAACCTCTCCTGATATATTTCAAACTACACAATAGCCTGATCATCTGCTACGTGGAGGAAAACCAGTGCTGTGCTTCCAGAGCCCCTCTTCCCTGTTCTGAGCAGAAACTCCACAGGTTTGGCTCTTTTTTCCCATCTTGTTCCTTGCTCCTCCTCTGTCCTTCTCCTTTCTGAACAAATCTCCCTATTCCCCCGGGTCTCTGCTCCTAATGCTTTCTCCCCACAGCCGGACTGAACAGCTTCACGCTCCGGCTGGGCAGGGGCAGGTGCAGCAGCTGAGGCCGTGAGGGACCCGGGCTGTGGGGGAAGGAGACAGGGCAGGAGGCGAAGGGCTGGACACAGAGTCATGGAATCACAGAGTGGTTAGGGGTTGGAAGGGACCTCTGGAGATCCTCCAGTCCGACACCCCTGCCAAGGCAGGGTCTCCCAGAGGAGGTGACATGGGGACACGTCCTGGTGGGTTTGGACTCCACAACCACCCAGGGCAGCCTCTTCATTGGGGGCATCCCAGGGCAGCCCGTTCCACTGGGGACATCCCTCGCCGACAGGCGGGGCCCGGAGCGGTGCCGGGGCACTGGGGGCACTGGGGGCACTCGGGGTCCGGGCCCCCCGCGGGCGGGGCCGGCGGGTGAGGGGTGTCCGTGAGGGGGAGGGGGGTCAGCGCGTGCCGCCGCCCGCACGACGCAGGGCCCCCGCGCATGCCCGCGACTTATTTCGCGCGGCGGGAGCGGAGCGGGCGGGGCGGCGGTGCCGGTCACGTGACCTGCGCGGGGGCGCGCGCGTGCGGCCGCTGGGGGCGACACCGCGACCGCCCCGTGCGGGGCTCGGCGGGACCCCCGGACCGGCACCGCCGACACCGGCACCGACCGGCACCGGCACCGCCGACACCGGCACCGACCGGCACCGGCACCGCCGACACCGGCACCGCCGACACCGGCACCGACCGGCACCGAGCCGCCGCACGGCTCAGCGCCAGCGTTTGTTGTTGTTGCCGCCGCCGCTTTTGGGGAGGGGGCCGCCGCCTCCTCCCCGCTCGGATCTATTGTCGCAACCCCCAGCACACCCCCACAAGCCCCCCGCTCCTTCCTCGCCACAATTAATCCGATGAATTTGCCATGATTGATCCGTATTAATAGCTGGGGTGGGTGGGCGTGTTTTGGGGCTCTTTTTTTTTTCTCCCCTTTTTCCTCTTTTTTTTTTTCTTTTTTTTTTTTCTTTCTTTTTATTGTTTGGTTTTGTTTTTGGAGGGGCCGGGCTGGGATCCGATTTCCACTCCCGAGTCCATCCTTGGTCGGTGCCTGAGAAAATTGCATCTGGATGCATCGTTATTATTATTATTGTGTTTGATCCAGGGAGATAAAGGAGGAGGGGGAGAGGAGTGCGTGTTGGTGGGGAGGGGAAGGCTGCACCCTTCCCTGCACACACACACACGCAGACAGAAGGAGTTCCGTACATCTACATATATATTTCCCCCCGCATGGAACTTCTTTTAGTTGGGGAGGAAAGGAAGAAAGAAAATAAATTTTGTGCAGGGAAATACTCTCAGCTCCCTCCTTCCAGCGGGGCTCCTTTCTTTATTTTTCCCCCCTTCTTTTCTGCCTTTTTTCCTCTCTTTCGAAGATCCTCGCCCTCCCAGCCCCTTGATCAAAGCATTCCGCTATTCTGATTTATTGCCTGCTTGGTGAGGCTTTTTTTTTCTTTTTTTTTTTTTTTTTTTTTTTTTTTTTTTTCAAAGGCGACCTGAGATCAGCCATTACTTTCCTTGGCTCGCTTATAGGAATCTCTTACATTTGGTGCTTGCTGCTGGTGGTGGTGGAACCGCACTCGGATTCTTTCATCCCCTCCACCCCCTTGCTGTCCTCTCCTCCCCTCCTTTTTCTTCTTCCCTCTCTCCCCTCCCTCCCTCCCCCGTTATTCCGCCGGGGGAGCCGGATTTGTGGCTGCGGTGGGGCAGGGGGGGAACGAGAGCGAGAGGGAGAGCCGGCGAGAGACATGGATGGCCCGGCGCGATGCAATGGGCTTCGGAAGAAGCGGCGATCGCGGTCCCAGCGCGACCGGGAGCGGCTAGCCCAGGGCGGGCGGCGCGGAGGGGCCGCCAGCGGGGCCCCCGGGGCCGCCGCGCTCTCCTCTTCGGGCTCCGAGAGGGAAGACAATGGGCCCCCGCCGCCGTCCCGGCCGCGGCCCCCCCGGAGGAAGCGGCGGGAGTCCTCCTCGGCCGAAGAGGACATTATCGACGGTTTCGCGATGTCCAGCTTCGTCACTTTCGAGGCGCTGGAGGTAAGGGAGCGGCGGCTCTGCTTTGTGTGTGCGCCTCATTGTGTGTGCGGGGGGCAGCGCCGGGGGAGCCCCCGCGGCGCCCACCCGGGCACCCCCCCGATCCCGCCGTGCCGCCGGGGGTGCCCGCGGGGCGGTCCCGCCGCCCCCTCCCGTGCCCCGGGGGTGCCCCGCTCCCCTCCCGCCGCCCTCCCGCCGCCGACACCTGCAGCCCGGCGCGCCGCTCCCGGCGGGCGGCGGCGGGACCGGGGCCGTGCCCCCCGCCCCGGCCCCGCATCCCCCCGCGCCGGGAGAGGGGACTTTGTGCGCGGGTCCCCCGGCGGCGCTTCCCTTCCCTCTCCTCCCACGGATCAAACTTTTCTCGCGCCGCCGTGGCCCGGCGGGGCCGCCCACTCGTGTCCGCGGGGCGGCGGGGGGGTCGGGCTCTGTGTGTGTCTGTGTGTCTGTCTGTGTGTCTGTGTGTGCGCGTTTCCTCTCTCGCTCGTGGTGCGGAGTCGGGGGCGCCCGTCCTGTCGCGCTCCCTGCTGGCATGTCACGAGTGGGCCCCGCGCTGGGCGGCTCGAGTCACCCCCCCAGATGGTGGGGGAGCCCAGGCCGGGCCGGGCCGAGGGAAGCGTCGCCCGTGGGGCTTCTCCTCCCCCCGCCCGGCCCGGGCCCGGCTCGCCGTGTCCCCTCTGCCCACCCACTCGCGACCGTGGGACCGCTGTCAGCCCGGCCGGGGCCGTGCTGGTGATGCTGCCGTGCGAGGGGAACCTCCACCCCGTGTGTTGGAAGGGCTTTGTTGTTTATAACTTCTGATCCGGAGAAGTTTGCTGTGGCGAAAAGCGGATTTATTTGGGTTTATGTTGCACGGGAATCACAACTGGAACGATGACGAACTGTCAAAATAAATGTGGAGGTGAAGCTGATTGTTTAACAAAAAAAACCCCTGTGTAGCTCTTAAGCTGTTTAAATATTTAGCCTGGAATACTTAGTGGCATTTTCAGGTTAGTATTTTTTCTTTTCTTTTTTCTTTTTTTTTTTTCTTTTTTTGGTGCTTGTTTTTGGTTTGTTGGTTTTTTGGGGTTTTTTTTGTAGCCTCATTTTGTCTTTGGTTACACCTGTGTCCGTCCAGACTACAGCTTCTGACAGAGGCTGTGGTGTAATTGAAGGGAGGATTTGTTCACTCCAACAAACCTCCACATGGTTGGTGTTAGACTGGTGTAAGTAATAACGAGCAAATGCTGAGGTAATGTCCAGACTCAATTTATCCACCATTTCTCACCTGGTGAGCCCATCCACAAGTGTCCTGCTCAAACTAGACAGATGAAAAGTGTGAATACATGTTTGTTGGCAAGAGTGCGTTTTGTATGCTTCTGTTTCAGACAAAATTCCGTTCTTCCTCAAACAAAGCCCCAGTTCATGTCATTAAGGGTTTTATGGAAATATGGACTCGAGATTTTGGCTGTAGTCCTTTTTGGAGGGGAAATGAAGAGCAAGTTTTATGGTCAGAACTTGGTAGGGTATTTTAGAGAATGTCTTTATTCTGTTTCACTTCTTATTTGTTTATTTTCCACTTGAAAATAATTGCTGCACTCTCCTCTCTTTGCTAAGCCAAGAATGGCTACTACTTGCATCCTCTCGTAATCCTATATCACTAAGAAGGAGTGCAGAAACATTACCCAGTTCTGTCAGCTAATATCACATTCAGATAAAACAATAGCTTGCACACTGAGACTTGACATACTTTTAATGTTCATGTGATAGGTGGCACATTTTGACCTAACGATTTCATGCTGCGTTGAGAAATAATGTCACAAAATTGTTGTTAGGTGCTTTTTCCTGCAGCTCCATATGTATGTTGAGAAACTTGTTTCTGAGGATCAGAGGGAGATGAAGGTGTCTAAGGCACAAGCCCAGTGTGGCAGGAATTACTGTGTGCATTGCGTGTAGCAGCCTCAAGTTTTTATTGTGATTCTTGTGTTGGCGAGGAGTTTGTGAGTGGCTGGTGGAGTGAGATATCTCAGCCTTGGTGAGATGTTTAGGTGTTAATGTGCTTGAGTTGAGACAAGAAGCCTTGGGTGCTGTGAAGAGTTGTCCTGATATTTGTACATCTCATGCTCTGGGTCTACCCCCAGCTCGTGTGAGGATGTGGAGACTTTCCTCAGGTTCCAGAAGACACTTGCACCCAAGTTGTTGTGCATGTTAACAAGACTGTCCCAGCCCAGGCTTTGTGCTTGAGCTTCAGCCTTTTCTTAGGCTTAGCACAGCTGAAAGTGTGCAGAGACAGTGTTTTGTCTGCTTGATGTGAGGAACTGTGAGAAGGAAAGTGCAGAACGCCTTCACCACTGAAAGATCTAAACCCATGGCTTGGAAGAGGGGGCAGAGGTAGGTGGTGGCTCATGCAGGAGGGAACAGCCACTGTGGAGTGTCAGGGTTGAGTTTCTGCTTCTGAGGGCATTTGTAGGGGTGTGAGTTGGCTGAGTGTGAGGTGTCACTCCAGGATCTTTTTATGCATGCTGTATCAAGTTGCAAACAGGAGCAAGAACTTCCATACAGCTTCACCTGTCCTCTACGAAATGCTTTTTGTTGGGGTGACTGAAAAAGCCCAGCCTGTGTAAAATACCAGGTTGTGTGAAGCTCATAGATGGCAAGGGGACACGGGTGCTGCACAAGAACACACATCCCATGGCTGCTGTAGCCTCAGGAGGAGTCATTCAGTCTGTTATGGTTGTGTTGATAAAAGTTCCCATCCCTTGAAGCAAAACTTTAACCAGCTCCCACTCTGGGAACTGCTTTTATGTCCAGGTGTCAGTAGCCTTCTCATGCTTCTCAAGTGTAAAGTGGTGTGGAAACAGAGGCCATTGCTTATAGTCGTCTGTCTCTGTTTATGGTACCCCATACCTTGGTGTCTCTAATGTTTGTGTGGGGAATGCAGGGGAAGAGGGAGTTAAATGAAGACAGCGGTGTCTCATTGTGGATTTTTTTTTTTCTTGGAGTGACAGTTGAGCCATTCCAGTGTCCTTGCAGATGTGGCCAGAGTGATCCTTACCTGGCCTTGCAAGACTTCTATGTAGCTGTGTGCAATGTGGGCCTGGCCCCTACATGGGGGAGCATTTTGAAGCCTTGACCTTCAGAAAGCAACCCTAAATCTGTAGGTAAGCAGCTGAGATGTGGTCCTGCAATTTGATATGCTTCACCAGATTCTCCCATGAGTGGCCTTCTGGGACTAACAGCAGCAAGCTCTGTGGTTTACTCCAGAGCAGTCACTGACCTCCCCAAATCTCCCAGGCTGTGAAGGGAGGAAGGCACAGATGCTCTGTCCACGTGTTAGTGTGACTGGTGGCTTATCAAGCTGACTGCTTTGCCAGGCTTGGAGTAGCCTGTGCTGCACTGCTGGTGTGTTTGTTACCAACAATAATAGCGTGAGGTTCTCCAAACCCAGGTGGGCATTTTAGACACCAGTTTGACAGGGAAAGGTCATTTCTCAGAATGTGATAAATCAATCCATTGGAGTGACTTTCTCTGTGATGTGCTCTGGCAGTGCTGGCAAGGAGGCTTCTGCAGAGCTCTGTGGTGAGGTGAGATTTCTCTGAGATGTTTGTCTCCCTCCTACCCCCTGGTGCGTAGGACTCCGGGCAGGAGGCTGACGTGATGTGGCTGTTGATGTGCCATGGTGAAGATGGTTTACTGTGATGAGAAAGGAAATCTGACCTGAATGTTAAGACAGCTTAAAGCCTGGGAAGTACTTTATGTTTCCTGAGTCAGCTCTGACCATCCCTATGGAGTAAGCAGTTGGTTTCAGGTTTTCTGAACACTGAGTAAGGTAATGAGTTTTTTTCTGCAGATGTTTGTTTAGCTTCAAATCAGGCAGTTCATCTGACAAGCCTGAAATGGGACACAGATATTTATAAAGCACAGACAGAAGTGGGGTAGGAAGCAGGGGGACTTGCATTTAAATGGGAATTCTTGTTTCATAAAACTGTCACAATTTCTCACTGTGCATTTGCTGAGCTGATTTCTGTTCAGCACACAGGCATTTGTCTGTTTTGAGACCATGCTGAATTATCATCAGGTAAAGCCCAATATAATTAATTACAAATGAGAAATGCTGACAAATATTTGTCAAGGAGCTGTTTAATGAGCTTTAAATTCTGTTTCAGATGATTCCATCCACCTAGTGTAAATAATTTTTAAGCAATTGTTCCACTGCGTTTGTGTGATTTAGGCAGATGTTGGCTACGGCAGTTTTACACGTTGGACAGAGGATGAGACTAGCTGGAGTAAAGCTTAACAGCTGATCTGGGCTTTAAAATAGAGACACTACTGCTACACAAACAAAATGTGGAAGTAGCAGGCAGGTTTGAAGATGCTGTGGTGTCAGTTGTGTGTCTGTGTGCACTGACAGTGTGGCTCGGAGAGCGCATCTGAATGCAGGAATTTGCTTTAATAACTGTGCGTGATACTCATCTCTAGGCACGGCCCACTGAAAATAGAAATAGCTTGGCTTAGTGACAGCAGAGGCTTTGAGCTGGACACCAGAATGGCTGTCTTGCTGTGTGGTTTTCCTCCCTAAATCAGTCTCTTCTCACCAGTCGTCTTGCTGGCCTGATTAGCCTGTTTACTTAAATTCTTTGAAATTTCAAGCAAGTTTGTTCTGCCTTGTCTCTATCCCTTCATATTTCAAAAGGAATTTGATCTTCAAGACTTACCACAGCAGCATCATAACATGAGGTGTTTGTTTAGTGCTGTCAGCAAATCTTGCTGGCCCTTCTTGTGTTTATTAACTGCTTAGGTGCTTAAGTGTTTGTCCCAGTCTCTGTTTGCAGGTGCAAGTCTGCAGATTTAGACCAGCAGAGAAAAGAAGGGAGTAACTAAATGAAGATATCTGGGGATGGGGAGAGGCATTAGGCTTTGTGTGACACTGGGATATCATATGAAGCGGTACATTTATTATTTCCACTCTGTATTTTAAGGAAACAGTGAATTTGACCTGAGATCAAATTTCGAGATAACCTTGACAG